TTTTTTTTTTTTATTTTTTTGTAATAATTTTTTCGATAAAAAAAAATTCTAAAAATTTTTAAATGTCGGCTAACTTAATTTTCATTTAAAATTACACTAACACGTATCAGTTTAAGCAGACAAAAATATAAACAAAAATAATCTGGGCCCAAAGGAATGTGTTAAGCCCAGAAAGTGGACCCCACGCACGTTTGGACCGGCCAAGCCCGCGCACGTGGGAGAGGCCGCGACAAATCGGTTTCTCGCCTTGCTCTACTCTAACTTCTCCCAAGACATCACATCAGTTTGTGTATATTAGTTATCTCCAGCTTGAGTAAGTCTCAGTATGCTTTTGCTCGCAAAAGCAAGCTAACTAGAGCATCAATGCTCCAAACTAAACATACTTAAGCTTAAATCCTGGTTTTTATTTGTTCAACTGTGGAAGTGGCCACCACAGTCACGCCGGCGCCAAGTTATTATATATTAATCCCACTCGCGTTTTCTTCATAACTTTTCCTACATCCGCGACGTCAAGTACTCTTATAAGTACTCTCTGCACCTTGTGAATAGAAAGTCTACATGAAATCTTCAAGTTAAAGTGTAAGAATTTTTCTTCATCTTAATTTTTTTATATTTCTTCTCACCTTTCCTTTCTTCTTCAGTGTCTTTAGTCTGCCTAAAAAAAAAAACAAAGTGTTAAAAATATTATAAATAAAAATTGAAGTTTTAAAATAGCAACAAAGGAATAAATAAAACTAAAAAAGCTACTGGTGATTAATAAGTGAGTCAAGTAACATAAAGACTTAACTTGTGTGTGCGCAATTAAGTAGTGGGTTTTTTTTTTATTTTTATTGATAGTGATGTATACACAAGTGTGTACCAACACTTTCGTTTTTATTCCGAGTTGATGTATTAAATAATACATCAGAAGAATCTTTTTTTTTTCTTTATTTTATTTGTTTTAATTTATGCGATGATTCATCTCAAGACCGCTACTTCCAAGATATTAATTGTCGATTCTGATATTACTAATTTATATGAATAATATTCAAATGAAAAAGATTAACTTTGTTTATTTTTACTGCGTGGGGAATTTTATTGATTATTGATAAAGGATATTATGTTTATGTATTAATTTAGCCGATGTTTAATAATTTTAATATTTTTTTATGACATTAAAGTTAATAGTCGCTTGTGAAAATTAAGTTAGGACATCTAAAAATTTTTAGAATTTTTTTATTGAAAGAATAAAAAAAAATTGCATTTGTAAAAAACTTGAAGAATTAAAAGTGCAATTTTTAAAAATGTTTTTTGCTCTTATTTAATTATTGAAAAAAAAAAATTAAAAACGTGGGCTAACTTTGGTATTTTTTAATTTTTTTTAATAAATAAATTTGCTCTAAAAAATTGCATTTTTTATTTATTAAAATTTCTAAATATCCATTTTTTTCATGTCACTGAAATTAGTAGACGTCTAAAAATTTTTGATTTTTTTTATTAATTAAATTACAACTAAAAATACATTTCGAAAAAATTGCACTCTTAGTTTATCAAGTTTTTTAAATGTGAATTTATTTTTTTAATTGAAATTTTTTCAATAAAAATTTTGTAAAAATTCTGAAATGTCGGCTTACTTCATTTTCAGTTTTTTTTCGCTTTTTTTTGCAGCAATTTATTTATTAGAAAAATTATTATTGAAAATTAATTTAGCAGATATTTAATAATTTAAAAAATTTTTTTAACAAATAAATTATGGAAAAAAAAATTGACATTAAAAAAATAGAAAAAATAAAAAATGCAATTTTTTAGAAATTATTTTTTGGAGCAAATTTGTTTATTAAAAAAAATTAAAAAATTGTCAAGTGACAGCTTACTTTAATATCATATTTATATAAAAATTATTTTAGCCCATATTTAATAATTTTTCTAATAAATAAATTGCTGGGTAAAAAAAATAGATATTTTAGAAATTTTAATAAATTAAAAATGCAATTTTTTAAAAATAATTTTTCAGAGCAAATTTTTTTGTTAAATAAAACTAAAAAATGGTCAAGTGAAAGCTAACTTTAATATAATTTTTTTATAAAAATTAATTTAGATAACTTTAATATCATAATATTTATATATTATTTTATCGATAGACCTTGAGATTTTGTAATTTAATTATTAATAATTTGGATTGATATTCATGTAAATTTCCAAGTTGTTTTTATATTGATAATATAATTTAAAATAAAATTAAATGTAAATGATGGAAAATCGTTGAGCAATCAGGGAAAGTTGAGTTCATATTTCCAGATCCATTCACTTGCACTATTCATTATTGACTATTTACTTGTATGCGTTGCGAGTTGCGATTTATATTGCTTGTTACGGCTTCAGTATGTGGTTATTACACAAATAGAATCTAGTTGTTTTAGACACACATGGTAAATAAATTTGTAAATATCTGCCGTAACTTCTCGGGAGGCTGGAGGTATTTTTATTATTTTTAGACTCTGTTCAATGAACCAAGGCCTAGGGATTCCCTTCACTTACACTGCCGGGCTATTTATAAAAATTTAAGTGATTTTTGGTTGTGGTTTACTTATAGGAGATATCCGACTATCCGAGGATGCTTTAGTTTGGTTAAATTAACGGGCTTGTCAAGAATTTTTTTTTCTTGAGTTTAATAAGAATTCTTCGGTAATTAACTCAGGAATTTATTTCTTAACTCGTTGTTTTAGATTTATCAAATTAAGTATAGATTTGATTAAATGTAGAAGAAAAGAAAATGTTATTATTAATTGATCAAGATGATGATCTTTTGTTAAAATTAAACTAAAAAAAAAAAGTAATTGTTTAGTTTGATAGTTCACAAATATTACAACATATAAAAATATTATTTAGAATTTTTTTTAACAATCAAATATTTTTATTTCTTAAAGTTTATCAAAAATATAATTTAAAAAAATTTTTTAATATAAAAAAATTGACAATTTTTGGTTGCATAAAATTTTGTTATTAAATTAAATTTTTAGATAAAATATTTAGAAAAATTTATTATTATTATTATCATAAACTTACCTTGAAATTTTTAGGATTTTTTTTTAAATAAAAAAAATTATTACAAACAAATTAAAAAGAAAAATTCTACATTTAGAAGATTTTAAAAATAAGTGCAATTTTTCAATATTGTTTTAGGTCTAATTAAATTGATGAAAAAAAAAAAAAAAAATGTCAATTTTTTAATTTTTACTGTCAAAAAAATAACTATAGGTAAAACACTATGACATTAAAAGTAGCATTCACTAGAGAATTTTTTAATTTTTTTTAATAAAAAAATTTGTTCCAAAAAATTTTATTTTTTACTTTTTAAAATTTCTACATGTTAATTTTTTTTGTCATAATTTATTTGATTATTCTAAAGTTAGCCGACGATTTCGACTTTTTAATTTTTTTTTCAATTTATTAAATTAAAACTTAAAATATTTTTAAAAAATTGCACTTATAGTTTTTCAAGTTTTTTACAAGTGAACATTTTTTTTTTATTTTTTTGTAATAATTTTTTCAATAAAAAAAAATTCTAAAAATTTTTAGATGTCGGCTAAATTAATTTTCATATTTATTTGTTAAAAAAAAATTCTAAAAAATATTAAATATCTGCTAAATTTCATTTCATTGAAACACTAACCAAAATTAATTATTAATACAAAACAAAATCAACTAATTTATAATTAAATCTGTCTAGAAATGATGCATAGATCGGAATTGACCTGTAATCTATCATCGCCGGAGATAGGCCGAGTGAAACCTCCAGCGATGACTAATTCTCACATTCCAGTCCCGAAAGCGTTTGGCGTTCCGAATAAATCAACGCTTCACTCATCAACAAAGCGGGGAAATTTAAATACTGGTGACAACAAACCTCCACAGAGTCCAACGCTCCAAAGGGTGACCTCGGTCGCCGCCCAAAGAGCCTCCTTCGAGCGCCTAGACGCCTCGGCGTCGCCAAAAATCACCAGGTTCCATGATCTCAGTCCTCCGGTCAAAGACAACGGGTACCAGTTCTCGCTCAAGAGAACTACCGTCAGTTCAAGATTCAATGGCAACAACAGTAATAATAATAACAATAATAACAATAGTAATGCGAGCCTTGAAGTTAATTGGAAGGCCAAGTACGAAGAGTCTGAGCGAAAACGAAAAGTTTTGCTGCAAAAATCTGAAACAGGTTAGAATTTTTTATAAAACTAAGAAATGACCTTGTATCTTCTGAACTATTGACATTTTTGAAGATATAAGCTCATCTCGATGTTATACTCATCAAGACCTTTCATTTGAGTACCCACATCAATTTTTCATATATTTATATATATTACATATATGTATATATGAAATATATATCAAAAATGAATGTGGGTACTCAAATGAAAGCTCGTGATGAGAATAACATCAGGATGAGCTTATATCTTAAAAAACGTCAATAATTAAGAAATGACACTATATCTTGTCAACTAATGATATTTTTAAAGATATAAGCTAATCCCGATGTTACACTTATCAAGACCTTTCATTTGAGTACCCACATCAATTTTTCATATATTTATACATATTATATATATGTATATGTTATATATGCATATGTATATATGAAAAATATATCAAAAATGTATGCAGGTACTCAAATGAAAGCTCTTGATGAGCGTAACATCAGGATGAGCTTATAACTTCAAAAATGTGAATAATTAAAAAACGACGTTGTATTTTCTCCACTGATGATATTTTCGACGATATAAGCTCATCTCGATATTACACTTATCAAGACCTTCTATTTGAGTACCCATATCAATTTTTCATATATTTTATATATTTATATATAATATATATTACATATATTTATATATGAAAAATATATCAAATATGCATGTGGGTACTCAAATGAAAGCTCTTGATGAATGTAACATCGAGATGAGCTTATATCTTTAAAAACATCAATATTTAAGAAAATACAGTGCAATTTAACAAAAGTTATTATTTTAAAAAGTAAAATTTTATTTATTCATAGTTTACAATAGTGACTGCAAGGTTGCTATAGTAATTTTTATTGATTAAAAAAAATCAAAAATTGCTAAATGTCTGCTAATTTTTAGTTCAATTTTTTAAAAACATATTTTTATTGATTCAAAAAAATTTTTTGACAAGTTAAGTTAAGTTAGGTCAAGTAGTTTAAATTGATTTAAAATGATTAATTAAAAAATTTATTTTAGTTACTAGAGAGCACAATGATTTGGAAAAGAAATTCCGAGAGATGATCCGTGAAAACAGCGCACTTCATACTCAAGTTCGTGATAAAGATGAGCAATTACAGAAACTACGTACCGGTCTGTATTATTTTAGATCCGTCTTTTTTCTTCTTTTATCCAATTGAAAAAAAAAACCTTGAATGGCTTTTCTCGGATTTGCTAATCATACCAAACGATAATTGTAATTATACTTACAGTGTCAGAGGCTGTCTGCAAAGAATACGAACAACTCAAGCGTCAATACGATGTCGAAACAGGTGCTATGCACAAAGCAATGCAACAAGCATCACAAGTAGGCTAAATTTATTATAATTTAAAGCATTTAACCCACAATAGTCACGGACAAGTTTAGATATTTAATAGAAGTTTTTGTCTGTAGTGGTACAAACAAAACCGGCAATTGAAAAGAAGGTCACAAGTACTTGTTCAGAGGATCCTTGACTCACGGCCTGATGCACTGGCTGATGATTCATATCTTTCTGATGAGGTCGATGCCAATGATGCCGACGACGCTGAAGAACTACGTCAAACTATTACAGGTTATTTTTATTTCTAATTTATCATAATATTATATTATTTTAATTAATATCAATTTAAGTAGATTTTATTATTAATAAGTCGTTTTGTTTTTAATTTAAAAATAGTCGACTAGGAAATTTTTTAGTTGCACCGTCTACAATATTTCAATCCATAAAAATGATATTTAGAATGAAGAATATATTCAAAACTTAGTTTATTGCGCGCGCATCCGCCATTTTGTAGAAGACCGCCATTTTGTCAATCTCAGAGACTTTTAGCTTCTTTTAACTATTTCTTCATTAAATTCGCTTATTTTAGTAAAATTTTGATTTTTTTTTACACATTGGGGTTGAGAAGAAATGATTAGATAATTAGAGACTTTTTCATTACTATTTTATTTGGTAAAATAATAAATTTGAGATTTAAACCTGTTGAAAATAATCTTACAGCGTACAAACTAAGTTTTAAAATAGTTAAAAAATATATTTAATTTATGTTAATACTTTAGAAGTAACTTTTAATATTTATAAAAATAATATTTAGAATAAAAAATAAATTTTAAACTTACTTTACTGCGCGCGCATCAGCCATTTCGTAGAAGACCGCCATTTTGTCAATCTCAGAGATTTTTAGCTTCTTTTAACAATTTCTTCATTAAAGGTGCTTATTTTAATAAATTTTTATTAAAAAATTTTGTTTTCAAACACATTGTTGAGAAGAAATAATTAAATATTTTAATATTTTATTTATTAGAGAAATTATTTAGTACAATAGTATTGTTGATATTAAAATTTGTTGGAGATAACCTTGTAGCTTACAAACTAAGTCTTAGAATAGTTAAAAAGTATAATTAACTTATGCTAATAGTAACTTAATATCCATAAAAATAATATTTATAGTGAAGTATATATTTAAAACTTAGTTTACTGCGCGCGCATCCGCCATTTTGTAAAAGACCGCCATCTTATCAATCTCAGAGACTTTTAGCTTCTTTTAACTATTTCTTTATTAAAGTTGCTTATTTTAGTGAATTTTAATTAAAAAAAATTTTTTTTCAAACACATAGTTGGGAAGAAATGATTAAATATTAAGATATACTTTTTACAACTATTTTATTGATGAAATAAAATATTTTTGATATTAAAATCTCTTGAAGATAATCTTGTAGCTTACAAACTAAGTTTTAGAATAATTAAAAAATATATTTAACTTATGCTTATACTTTAGAAATAACTTAATAATCGCCATAAAAATAATATCTAGAATAAATAATAAATTCAAAACTTAGTTTACTGCGCGCGCATCCGCCATTTTATAATAGACCGCCATTTTGTCAATCTTAGAGCGAACTTTCGCTCCTTTTAACTATTTCTTCATTAAAGTCGCTTATTTAAGTAAATTTTAATTAAAAAAAAAAAATTTTTTTTCTGACAACACATTATTGAGAAGAAATGATTAAATATTAAGATATATTTTTATAACTATTTTATTTATTAAATAAAATCTGTTGAAAATAATCTTCTTGTAGCTCACAAACTAACTTTTAGAATATTTAATTTATGGTAATACTTTAAAAGTAACTTATAGTATTAACTATGTCTTAGAATAGTTAAAAAATATTTAATTTATACTAACATTTTGAAAGTAACTTACTATCCACAAAAATAATACTTAGAACAAAGAATAAATTTAAAACTTAGTTTACTGCGCGCGCATCCGCCATTTTGTAGAAGGCCGCCATCTTGTCAACCTCAAAGATTTTTTAGCTTTTTTTTAACTATTTCTTCATTAAAGTCGCTTATTTAAGTAATTGTTAATTATAAAAAAAATTTTTTTTTATTAAAACACATTATTGAAAAGAATTAATTAAAAATTCAAGCTTATTTTATTTATTAAATAAAATCTGTTGAAGATAATCTTCTTGTAGCTCACAAACTAACTTTTAAAATATTTAATTTATGGTAATACTTTAAAAGTAACTTATAGTATTAGCTATCTTCAAAAGTAGGTTTAAACTTTGTTTCTTTGACACAACTATCAATTATTTAACTTTTTAAAAAATCTTAATATTTAATTTTTAAGTACTAAAATTTTTTAATTAAAAAAATTTTACAGAATTAAGCGCCGAAGTCGCAAGACTTCAAACAGAATTAAACGCAGCAAGACTCCAAGAGTTTGAAGCCCAGGAACAAGCAGCGTTGACAAATGCCCGACTGGAAGATGAAAAGGAGCTGAGTGAAAAGAATAATGAGGTAATAAAGCAGCTGACAATTCACAAAGAAAACATGGAACGTGTTTCTCGAATGGTCGCTGAAGAAGTCCAGGCTCTGAAGGCCCAATGTGACCGCGAGCGAGAAAGCGCCAAATTGATGAAGATAGAAGCCGACAGGATCCAAAAAGAGCGGAATGTCCTGGCTCACCAGAGTGCCCTGCTGATGGCGGAAGTCGGTGATGATCCTAATGGAAGATTGCTGACAATTCTCCAGGAAGTAGAGTCACTGAAGCGGCTGCTGGAGGAGGAGAAGCAAAATCACTTTGAACAGATACAGCTTCTGCAGGATAAGCTCGATGAGAAGGAATCGAATGTCGAGTTTGAGATTGTTGAGGAGAAACTTAAATTAGCCGAAGTTGAATTGAACATGATGGAGGAGCGGGCTGAGAGGGCGGAAAAAGATGCCAAGAAGCTACAAGAGACTGTTAGAAAGTTGGAGGACAAAATTAATCAATTAGAAACAATGAGAGTTTCGCCACCACCGCCACCACCGATGCCGGCTCCGCTGCCTCCTCCTCCGCCACCGCTTCCAACTAAGTCGTCTACTTCAACTGTTAAGTTGCTGACAAAAGAACGTCTTCAAGAAGAGAATCGACATTCAGCTATTGTTGACATGGAAAATATGCTCGGTATTTCCAAGAAAACGGTCACTACTGTTCCTCAACAACCTGGTAATTTTTTTAATGTTTAAGTATCATTTTTTACACTGAGAGAAAAGATTTTTTTTAATTATAACAAAAATAATTTTTCGGTTGACATTAAATTTTTTAATTAAATTAATTAATTAAAAAATTTTTATCATATTATTTAGAGAATAAGCAAAATTTTGTGCTTTTTCATGGTTTTATCATATCATTCAATTTATTACAATAAATATTTAGGATGCATTCGAAAATGCTCTATCTCTAGATACATAATTAAGAAATGGCCTTGTACCTTGAGAACTATTGACATTTTCAAAGATATAAGCTCATGCCGATGTTATACTCCTCAAGACCTTTCATTTGAGTACCCACATCAAATTTTCATATATTTTATATATTATATATATATGTATATATGAAAAATATATCAAAAATGCATGTGGGTACTCAAATGAAAGCTCTTGATGAGGGTAACATCATGATGAGCTTAGATCTTTAAAAATATCATAAGTTGACAATATACAGTATAATTTCTAAATTATTGGAATGTTTAAAGATATAATCTCATCCCGATGTTAAACTCATTGAGACCTTTCCTATGAGTACCCACATCAATTTTTTATATATTTTTCATATATACATAATATTATATATATACGTATATATGACAAATATATCAAAAATTTATGTGGGTACTCAAATTAAAGCTCTTGATGAGTGTAACATCAGGATGAGCTTATACTTTCAAAAATGTGATTAATGAAACAATGGCGTTATATTTTGTTGACAAATGATATTTTTAATGATATAAGCTCATCTTGAAGTTACACTCATCAAGACCTATCATTTGAGTACCCACATTAATTTTTCATATATTTTATATATTTATATATATTATAAATATGTATATATGAAATATATATAAAAAATGCATGTGGGTACTCAAATGAAAGCTCTTGATGAGTGTAACATCAAAATGAGCTTATATTTTAAAAAACGTCAATAGTTAAGAAAGTACCGTGCGAAATTCTATTTATTTATAGTTCACAAGTTACGGCAGTCACGTAGTGACTGCAAGGTTGCTAGTTTTTTAATTTTCATTCAAAAATTTTTTTTAATAAAAAATTAATTTCTTATCACAACATAGCTCATAATTATCAAAAGAAATTTTTTCTCTCAGTGTATCTAAAAATAAAAAAAATACTATTCTATTTAATAAAATCTTAATAATTTTTTTTTTAAATTACAGCTATTGACGATATAATAAATCAAATAAAAGGTGGAAGGTTCACTCTGAAACAAACAGACGTAAGATAATTTTTTATAAAGCATACGAAAAATGTTTCATATTTATTAATTATAAAAATTTTCTTTTTTTAAAATTTTTTTTTTGTAATTTTACATGATAGAAGCAACGCGAGGAAGAGAGAAAGCGTAAGCGAGAGATGGAAAGTGCTCCAGCGGCAGTTTCTGAGATGCTGAACATCCTTGGTACAATGAGACGACGAGCGAAGCCAGTGAGACAGTCTATAAACTCCTCGGAGTTGGTCGCCAGTACGCTCGATAAAGCCGCGTAATAAAAAATTAAATAAATAACATAATTACACCAGCGTTGCACTTATAAATATGTACATTGAAGATATAAATGAACAAAGTAATTGAGATATTTATATAAATATATAAAAAGAAGCTGATGTGTAAGCGATATCTTACGAATTAATCTGTACGAATTAATGAGCAATAAATTTTTTAATTTTTTCAATAATTCCTGGTAATTTTTCAGCCTCGAATATCATTACACGCCTGTAGGGAATCAGCTCGTCGTCATCTTCATTCCAGGTCCCGGATAATCCAGTGTCTGTTTCTTTAGCAACGGAGAACTCGAATTTACACATTGCTTCTTCATCAAATACTTCTTCCTCTTGATTGCTCCACAAATCTTCCGGTTCTTCGGAATTTTTGTTTTTCTTGCTCTTCTTTACAGTTACAGTCTTCGGTTTGGACAATTTTGAGATTATCACGTAGTACTTGAAGTCGTAGGCCATCTTCTTGGCAATCGCGCGCTTCATATCGGACATCAGGTTCTCTAAAAGAGGAACTGATATATCTGCTGGGATGTTGACGAATCTTTCATTAATGATCAGACCTAGTGCTGAGGAATCATTTTCAAGGATGTTGTTGATCATTCCGTTGACTGAGTCTGTTGCGTACTCGCTGGAGAGTTCTTTTAAAAGACTGCGCAGTTGCTGAATACATTCTTCGTTCTGTAATTAATTATTTTGTTAGAAATATTTTTTATTTTATTTTTAGCCTCTACAGTTGAATTTTAAGGTAATTTTTCTTATTTTAATTGTTTTAATAATGATAAAAATTTGATTGTTGAAATTATTAGATTTATATAAATGACACATTAAAATGTCAACTGTAGAAGTTTTTATTAATAATGAAACGGCTGACATCTGTCAATTTTTTTATTTTTTTTTGGATGTTACTCATTAAGAGCTTTCGTTTGAGTACCCACAAGCATTTTTGATATATACATATATATAATATGAATAAATATATAAATATATGAAAAATTGATGTGGGTACTCAAATGAAAGGTCCCGGTGAATGTAATGTCAAGGTGAGCTTATATCTTTAGAAATGTCAATAATTAAGAAATGACCTTGTATCTTGATAATTATTGACATTTTTTAAGATATAAGCTCATCTTGATTTTACACATATCAAGAGCTTTCATTTGAGTACCCACATGCATTTTTGATATATTTTTCATATATACATATATATATATAAATATATAAAAAATTGATGTGGGTATTCAAATGAAAGGTCTTGATGAGTGTAACTCCAGGATGAGTTTATATTGCTAAAAATATCATCAGTGAATAAAATACAACGTCATTGCTTAATTATTGACATTTTTATAGATATAAGCTCATCTTAATGTTACACTCATCAAGAGCTTTCATTTGAGCACCCACATTCATTTTTGATATATTTTTTATATATACATATATATAATATATATAAATATACGGAAAATCGATGTGGGTACTCAAATGAAAGGTCTTGATGAATGTAACCCAAGGATGAGCTTATATCCTTATCAGTGCAGCCTTATGCAGCCTAAATCTTTATCATCATAAATCTACTATTAAATAATGACTTTTGTTAAATTTGAGATAAAAAATATTAAAATCTGTCAAATGCCATTTAATTTCAATTTTAAATTAATTAGATACTGAAATCAGCTGATAAATTTTAATTGTTTACACTTTCATTACAAATTTACTATAAAAAAAAGTATTTATAAAAAATTTGTACTTATAATTTTTCTGTAATTATCTAGTCTTGGAATTTTTCCTTAAATAATTGAATTTTTACAAAAATCCAAAAAATTGAAAGATGTTTATTAATTGTCAGTTCAGTATCACAATTATTCCAGCCATTCCCACGACATAATAAACCAAAAAAAAATTTACAGGGCTTACTTGGCTGTGGGAGATATTAATGACACTGGTGACCCCAAAAACGTCACCGACATCACTAGTATCATCCTCATCGTCCTCATCATCATCATCATTAGTCTCCTGTTTCACAACTGAGCCAACGTAGTTATGGGAAATAATATAATCAGCCAGTGCACCAACATTAACATGAGCCTTTAAAAACAATTGCTGCAACAGAATCTTAATCCCATGATAATCTGAGTCGTCTGGCGTACGCCCCACAAAATCCACCATAATCTGGTTACCCTGGAATAAAGTCATGAAAATTAATTTATTAGACATTCAATAATTTTTTTAACAAATTAAATCAAAATTAATTTAGCATTTATTCAATCATTTTTTTAAGAAATAAATTTTAGTAAAAAAAAAAAAATGATATGTAGAAATTTTAAAAAATTAAAAATGCAATTTTTTTAAAATAATTTTTTGCAACAAATTTATTTATGAAAAATTATCAAGTGACTTAAATTTAATGTCACAAAAAATCAGACCGCGTGTTAATAGTAAGGTTAGAAACCTTCTACCCATATTTCCCCCAAAAGTACAAAAAAAACTCCATTAAATTACCTTTTCATCATTATTGTCGACATTTTCTTCGTCACTGCTCACATCACTGCTCGTAACATCTTCATTTTCCTTCGCCTTATTTTCTACATCACGTTTCTTAGCCGACGCAGCCATTTTCACGTTTCTCAATAAAATTTTCCTAGTCTCTTCTTCCGAATCTCTTAACACTTAACTAAAAATACACTCTGCGCATGCGAAACTGCGCGCGCCGCGCTTTTAAATCGAAGCGCGAGGAAAAAAAAAATTTCTCTTGAAATAAAAAAAATATATATAACTATAAATAAACTCCCTTGAAAAAAAAAAAAAAAAAAAAAAAAACCGCGAGCTTCCGCCGAAACCGGAAAACGGCGCGTACGCGCGAGTGATTCATTTGTGTCATTGTTGCGAAAAATCACTCGCGCGTTATTATCAAGACATAAATCTTGGAAATATCTTATTTTTCCTTATCAATAATAATAAGTAATAAATAAAATTGCAATTGCAATAAATTAATCATCTTCATAGCTTCAGAAGTATATATTATTAATTATAATTATAATTATACTTAAAAGTAAATAAATATTACTGTAAATCAATATTAAATCTGTCAGAATAATCAATTGTCATTAGCGTCGAATGTATAACAATAAATTGTCAATGTCATGCGCAGCATTATCAATTCAATTGATTCTTCAGTACGCAGCCGTTGTACTTACGTATTCATATCGCGGAATTTTTATGAAAACTCGTTACATTACAGAAGCTGTCTTCGCTCATAAATTTTCATAAAAATCTCAGCTTATTATTTCTTCTTTAAATTATTAACCCTTAGACCGGCGCTAATATTTCTTCTTTTATTCGATAAATTTAGAGTTAAAAAAAAATTACTACAATAATAATAATAATAATAATAATGATAATAATAATAATAATAATAATAATAATAATAATAATAATAATAATAATAATAATAATGACTAGCAACTTTGCAGTCACTAGGTGACTGCCGTGACTTGTGAAATATAAATAAATAAAATTTTGCATTACTAAATAATAAATTTTTTTAAATTTCACTGTAGTTTTTGAACTATTGATGTTTTTAAGGATATAAGCTCATCTTGATGTTACACTCATCAAGAGCTTTCGTTTGAGTACCCACATGCATTTTGATATATTTTTCATATATACATATATATAATATATATAAATATATGAAAAATTGATGTGGGTACTCAAATGAAAGGTCTCGATTAGTGTAATGTTAGGATGAGTTTATATCTTTAAAAATGTCAATAGTTCACGAGATACAAGGTCATTTCTTAAGTATTGACATTTTTGAAGATATAAGCTCATCTCGATGTAACATTCATCGAGATCTTTCATTTAAGTACCCACATAGCAATTTCTATATATTTTATATATATGGTATTTGTAAAATATATAAATATATAACATATATGAAAAATTGATGTAGGTACTCAAATGAAAGGTCTCGATGAGTGTAATGTCCGGGTGAGCTTATATCTTCAAAAATATCATTAGATAACAAAATGCTATGTCATTTCTTAATTATTGATATTTTTAAGGATATAAGCTCATCCTGATGTAACACTCATCAAGACCTTTCATTTGAGTACCCACATCAATTTTTCATATATTTTATATATATGGTATTTGTAAAATATATAAATATATAAAATATATGAAAAATTAATGCAGCTACTCAAATGAAAGGTCTCGACGAGTATAACATCGGGATGACCTTATATCTTTAAAAATGTCAATAGTTCACGAGATGCAAGGTCATTTTTTAATTATTGACATTTTCAAAGATATAAACTCATCCCGATGTTACAATCATCAAGACCTCTCATTGGAGTACCCACATGCATTTTTGATATATTTTTCATATATACATATATATATAATATATATAAATATATGTAATATATATATAAATATATGAAAAAGTGATGTGGGTATTCAAATGAAAGGTCTCGATGAGCGTAACCTCAGGATGAGCTTATATCTTTAAAAATTTCATTAGCTCACAAGATACAAGGTCATTTCTCATGTACCTAGAAATATATCATTTTAGAATGCAGCCTAATTACTTTTCATAAACTGACTATTGGCGAGAATGACATAAAACCATGAAAAGTCCCAACTCCAGCTCTCAACCTTTCCAACGATCCCCAATTTAACCCTAAAAACCCATTTTATCCCCAAAAATTTTCCTTATTCTTTCAATAATAACAATAATAATTTATACTTAACATTTCTTAAAAAACGGGAAATTCGATTAAATTTTACGCGCATGGTCCACAAGACAAGGAAGCAATATTTTATAAAATTTGGTCCTCTGTCAGGTGGCACCACTACACCCCTTCTGTCCTCTGTTTACAGCCAGCCAACGGGGTGTATGTGTACAAGTTTACGTATATACATGTATACGGATATAATATACTCCTCTAGCCACCCACATCTCCACGACCTACACTACTACCACCACCACACCACAAATTTCATCTCTTCCCGCTTTACTTATTCTCTCACGTTTATCCAGCTGCGTCGTCGCTACTCGCTAAAAAGCATTTTGTACGCGCGAGGAGATAAAGACCGTAGAGTAGACGAAATACCGCGAGGACTGTTCCCGGTGTTTTTTATTTTTTATCCGTTTAAACAACAATAATAATAATAAATAATAACAATAATAACAATGCAACAATAAAACAACAAACAAATTTTTAAAGGAAGAATATAAAAAAATTTATTTGGAATTAAAATTTATTCTGTGAGAAAAAATCGTGAGTGGGAAAAAATAGATGTGTTTAGATAATTGTAATTTTTTTTATCTATACTAATTATAATTGTAATTAACAAGATCGATGCATGTACTCGTTGTGTTTACGTGCATCAACGAGCTTTGGCTGTTAATTGTCGCATTTATTGTCGCCATTTATTTATTATTTATATTTCGATAATAATGTGGGTCATTCTCTTCATTGATTTTTTTTCCTCATTGTTTTCATTGTCATTTTAATTGTTATTGTAATTATTATTGTTGTTGTTGTTGTTGTTGTTGTTGTTGTTGTTATTGTTGTTAGAATGTAATGAAAGTTGAATAAAAAATAAAATTCCAAGGTCCTTTAACGCAATAGAAACCCAGCTGGTATTGCACTAGCAGAGCTCTAGTTCGCAGCGTACACGCATCGGGCGATCGATTGAGCACTCAGACGTTTGTCGAGTTCCTTATTTTATAGCTTCTTAATGGGGTGATTAACTCTCGATTAATTGACATTGATTGACGGGCTTAATATACGGGATTTTGGGTGGGAAAAAGAGAGAAAATAAAGTTGAGATTATTATTATTATTATTATATTAATTGTGAATTAGAGGGAAGAAATATTTTGGAGGGAAGAAATAGATAGAAGTTTTGTAATAGATAATGGTTATGGTAATGGTTATGATAATTATGTAGGAAGTTTTGAGGGGTGAAGGATGAAAGATGAAAGATTGAAGATGATTATCTTTTTTTTAACTTGAAATTTTTTTTTTTTACTCTTTTCAAATAATGACACTGTGGTTAATAGACATCTAAAGATTTTTTAAATTATTATAAATAATTTCACATGTATAGGAAGGGAAAAAATAAATGCGAATTTTTGAAAAATATATTTTTTATATTTATTTCTAAGGTCGAAGGTCATGATATAATTTTGAAAAATAATTTTACTTAGTTTTTTTTAATAAAAAATGGAAAAAAATAATAATAGCCAGCTTAAAATTAATTATTATTATTACTAGCAACCTTGCAGTCATTATATGATTTCCGTGACTTGTGAAGTATAAATAAAAAGAATTTTGCATTATTAAATAATGACTTGTTAAATTCCACTGTACTTCCTTAACTATTGACGTTTTTAAAGATATAAGCTCATTCTGATATAATACTCATCGAGAGCTTTCATTTGAGTACCCACATGCAATTTTGATATATTTTTCATATATACATATATATAATGTATATAAATATATAAAAAAATTTATGTGGGTACTCAAATGAAAGGTCTTGATGAGCATAATCTCAGGATGAGCTTATATCTTTAAAAATGTCAATATTAAGAAATGACCTTGTATAGCGTTAACTATTGACATTTTTAAAGATATAAGCTCATCCCGATGTTACACTCATCAAGAGCTTTCATTTGAGTACTTACATGCATTTCTGATATATTTTTCATATATACATATATGTAATATACATAAATATATAAAATATATGAAAAATTGATGTGGGTATTCAAATGAAAGGTCTCGATGAGTATAATATCAGGGTGAGCTTATATCGTGAAAAATATCGTCAGTGGACAAAATACAACGTTATTGCTTTATTGTTCATATTTTTTTAAATTTAAGCTCATCCTGATGTTACACTCATTAAGAGCTTTCATTTGAGTACCCACATGCATTTTGATATATTTTTGATATATACATATATACAATATATATAAATTTATGGAAAATTGATGTGGCTACTCAAATGAAAGGTCTCGATAAGCGTAACCCCAAGATGAATTTATATCTTAAAAAATGTCAATATTAAGAAATTACCTTGTATCTTCTAAACTAATGATATTTATTACAATATAAGCTTAGTTAGATATCACACTCATCAAGGGCTTTCATTTGAGTACCCACATGCATTTTTGATATATTTTTCATACATACATATATAATATATACAAATATATAAAATATATGAAAAATTGATGTAGGTATTCAAATGAAAGGTCTCGATGAGTATTATCTCGGGGTGATCTTATATCTTTAAAAATGTCAATAGTTCACAAGATACAAGGTCAATTCATAATTATGTATCTAGAGATAGAGGAGACAAAATTTTTCTTATTCTCTTAATAATATAGATTATTTAATATTAAAAAAAAAATTAAAAAGTAACTAATAACAATAATATTAATAATAATAAATAGTAGAGTAAAGTTTATAGTAATACGTAGTGAGTAGTCATAGTATGTAGTAGAGATGAGTGTAAAATAGCTCTCACTCTTTCTGGCTTACTAAACTAAATGCCACAATGAAATTAAGCCATCTGGCAACACGGTAGGGGCGT